AAAGGCTTATGAGTCGGCGGTGCAAGGGGGGGGGGGGTGGTGGTCAGGGGGAGAACGACAGGAGGAGCACCTGACCTTGGCAATGGGCGCCATCTCGAGGGCGATGTGAGTGATGTAGAGCGGGGGCTCCTTGGCCGTGCTGTTGGTGATGGGCACGTGGTAGTCCAGCCCGCCGCGGTTGTCGTAGGACGCGACGTTGGGGTCGCTGCTGTCCATGAAGACGAGGTCCATGATGAACGCGTCGATGGGCACCGTCACTGGCCAACATGGGGGCACGGGCACGGGAATGAGGGGGGAATGCAGTGGGGCGACCACAACAGTGGACAGCAGGCGTGTGAAGTCGCGGCTGTCCACGAGTACCAGGTCCAAGGCAGCACGAGGGAGGCAGGGGGCACGGGCATTGAAAGAGGGGTGGCGCGTGACTCAAAAACTTTGCTGAAATGGCTGCTGCTGTGCACCTTCACCAGGACCGTGATGTATGTGTCAATGGGGGGCGTCACTGCGGCGTTGCCAGGAATAGATAGTGGGCATGGGGGGTTGTGCGCTCCACCATGAGCCCGTGAGTGAAGACGAGGCAGAAGAAGTGCATTCCCCTCAACACACCACACAGAGCACACAGAGCATCACGAAGCCACCACCTGCCACTCACCCTCGCCCACGAGGTGCGTGCCGTTGGCGGCCGGCTGCATGTGCACGGGCAGGAAGCACCCGGTGCGGTGCGTCCAGCGGTTGAACGACCCCCGCATCCACACGTTCTGCCGGCCGTGCAGCACGGTGTTGCTGGGGTTGTAGAAGACGCGCACCGTCTCGCCCGCACGCGGCTCGGCAGGCTCGGTGAAGAAGACGTGCGCCTGCGACTGCAGGAACGCCTCCTTGGTGCGCCGCTTCATGGCCGCCTTCAGCTCCCCACGTCGCACCGCCTGGCAGTGGGGGATGGGAGGAAGAGGGGGGTGCAAGAGGAAGTGCGGACTCGTGGGGAGAGCTTCCTAGCAATGGGCTCAAGTGGTGCAGGAGGGCGCTGTGATTCAGCCCAGCTTGCCATGGCTGTGTGCAGTGTACAGCGTGGACGGGGGAGGAGGGGGGGGGGAGAGGGGGCGGGGGTGGTTATGGAGGCGTCTGACAGTGCGAGTGCACGAGTGAGTGAGGGCTAGTGAGGGCATGCGGCTATACCAATGGAGATACATTTTCATTCCTTCGCTTATCCTCAATTTCTTTGCACGAGCCGACTGTGTGTCAATCCGCATTCCCTTCGTTACAATCCTAGACTTCAGCATTGGCCATGCCGGTGAGACAATACCATCACCCCTCCCCCCATCCCTGCCCCATGTGCTCACCTCCTTGGCCTCGCGCTCCTCCCTCTCGATGCGCTCTTTCTCCAGCCGGGCCAGCACCGTCTCCTCCAGCGCGTCGAAGTACCGCCGCGCCTCCTCGTCGCTCGCCACGCTCGCCGCGAAGTCCTTGCGCCCGTTGTTGTCGTACGCGCGCGCCCCGCCCACCGGTCCGTCCGCCATCACCCAGTTCAGCACCACCGCGTCGGGGGGAGCGTCACTGGCGCCCACGGGGAGAGGGAGGCGAGACGACAGGTGGGGGGCCGGGAGATGGACAACGAGGGTGGGAGGCGGGGTGGGGGGGAGGGGGGGATAAGTAGAGCGGTAGGGGAACGTGTGGAGAGGACGCACTGCTCACTAGGGAAAGGGCCGCGGTAGGAGGGGGCATAGAGGGAGGGGGCACAGGGAGGAGCACAGTGGGAGGGGGCACGTGGGAGGGGCGAGAGTGGGAGGGGGCAGCAGCACGCACATTGTATGGACCACCAGTCGCCATGGTCCTTGTTGTCTGCCTTCAGCTCGCCCGTGCGGACAGCCCGTCCTGCCACCCGTTGATCCCGCCATGCACCCACACCGCGCCACTCCCCGCCAGCGGTCGCCCCGCCCTGTTATACAGCAGCCGCACCACGCGCTCTCCCCCCCCGCCCCCCCACCTCCTCCACGCGCCACACGCCCTCCAGACTCGTGCCACACGTGCGCCGCATCTCCCCCAGCCTGTTCCGCGCCTCGTTCGCCATGTCGCGCGCCTTTTTCCGCTCCGCCTCCTGCTGCGCCTTCAGCTTCGCGGCCCTGCGCTCCTCCTCCGCGCGCCTCTCCCGCTCCGCCTCCTCCGCCGCCTCCCTCTCCGCCTCCTGCCGCTTGCGCTCGTTAAGCATGGTGTGGAACTCCTCCTCGCCCATGCCGCCGGTCACGGCGAAGTAGAAGTCGTGCCCGTCGTTGTTCTCGTACACGTTGTCGTTGCTGTGGAACACGAAGTCCGCCTGGTACGCCTCGGCCGGGACCTGGATGACGCACGTCCACCAGTCGTTGCCCACCTCGGTGGACGGCTTGAGCTCGGCCTTGAACGGCTGCCACTGCCAGTTGTTGAACGCGCCCACCACGTTCACGCCCGACTTGTCCTTCAGCACGCTGGCCGGGCGGTGGAAGAAGATTTCCACGGGCTTGCCAGGCTGCGCCTGCCCGGGGTAGAAGAACATCTTGGCGGCGATGAACTCGTGCTCCTCCTGCAGCTTCCGCAGCTGCTCCCGCCGCGGCAGCTCCACCATGCTCGCCGCTTCCGCGCGCGCCTTCGCCTCCGCCTCCGCCCGCTCCCTCGCCATGGCTTCCGCCCTCGCGCGCTCCTCCGCCGCCTCCCGTGCCCGCGCGGCGGCCTCTCGACTCGCCCTCGCTGCTGCTTCCCCGGCCGCCTTCGCCTCCGCCTCTTCGCGCGCGCGCGCTGCTGCGACTTCACGCGTCTCAGCCGCGGCTTCTTCCCGCGCCCGCGCCTGCGCCACCTCCCTTTCCGCCTTCTCCGCCGCCTGCACCGCTCTCAGCGCCTCCTCCTCCTTCTTCAGCGCCAACGCCTCGTCTCGCGCCCTTTCCGCGGCCGCCTTCCGCACCGCTGCTGCCGCCGCCTCCTCCTTCGCCTGAGTCGCCCTCTCCCCCACGGGCGTGCGCGTAGCCTGCCCCGGTGCCGCCTCCTCCGGTTCCGCCTTCCCCTGCAGCAACGCCGCGAGCCGTTGCCGCTCCTCCAGCGCCTTCTGCAGCTCCTCCCGCAGCTGCGCCAGCCTGCCCTCGTTCTCGCTCAGCGCCTTGCTCTTCCGCCTCCTGTCCCCGCCGGTTGCCCCTCCCGCCTGCTCGTCCGCGTCTTCGCCGGCCTTGGCCGGAGATGCGCCCTTCTTGCTCTTCTTGTCCTTAGCTCCGCTGCTGCTGCTGCTCGCGCGGGTGCGTCGGCGAATGGGGTCGGCTTTCTCAACAGCGCTGCCGTTGTCCTCGTCAGTAGCTGTCTCGCTAACAGCATCCTTGCGAGCCCTGGCCGAGCGGGTGGGCTTGGCGGTGGCTGCGGGGATGTCGTCCGTGGAGATGCTTGCGCCGTCGCGGCGGGGGTGGGGCTGCTGCCGCACTGAACCGAAGGGAATCGAGCCACTCGAGACACAGCGGCTGGAAGACCATGGAAAGGGGAATGTTGAAGGTAAGGTTGGTTCTTTATACGTAGATTCGGAACAGAGAAATAAAACGACAGAAGAAGGGAATGGTGCTCAAGAAAACGGGTGAAAGCATTGCGAGACCTCGCGTAGACGCTCGGCATGCTCAAAACATGCTCAAACGAGAAGGGCAGAGAGGCGGAGTTGATGCGAGGAAGAGGAACAAGGAGCTGGATTTGAAGTGACCAACCTGGCGTCGATCGACTGGTGCGACATAGAAGGCTGCTGCTGGCCCATCCGACATTCGCCTGAACTTTACGAGGCCTGCGAGGCTGGAAACGGTTGATCCAGGTAAAAGGCTTTAATGGGTGAATTCGGGAACGGATGGCTTACAGGCAGTCGGGAATAACCAGCTTCTCCCCCAAAATGATAGATTGATTATTTTCCAGAAAATACAGCGGAGAAGGGAGGGGGAACCGAAACGTACGGTGCAGATGGACGATACTGCAACGGTGCATGAATTGCCCCAGCGACGCCATTCCGACGGAGCTAGCCATCGGTCCAATGTCCGAGCACCAGAGCGCTAGAATATATTACACGCTTTTCAATAGCGCTATTACGCTTAGAGAGTCGGAAGATTCAGCACCTTCATGCTCAGTGCGCAGCCATGGACGAGCAACAGCAGACCTGAGGTAAGGTCTGCAGATGGATGCTGGTTTTGTGGTGAATGCGGGAAAATGGATGCTGGTTTTGTGGTGGGGTGGGTTGTGGGAGCACGCGGATGGGGGAGTAAGGGGGAGGGAAGGGGATAGGTGGTTTGGCTTGTGGCGAGCTAGCGCATACAGCCTCGAGCAAAGGTTTGGCAAGCAGAAGGCAGTGCTTTGTGGCACGTGGCACCACGTTATGCAAACCGCTCGATTGGCTCCCAACTAGGGTCATCCGATCTCAGCGCGTGAAGGAATGCCACATAAGCTGGCTCGGGAACAATCTTGGCTCCTAGTCACGTGAAAATGAGGGGCGGGTATGACAGCCTGGGAATTCTGCCCTCGGGATCTCACCGCGGCTGACTCAGGTGTGGTCAGGAAAACAGAAACATATCCAGCACAGCAACATTCGTCGGTGTCCATTGGTTGAGGTGGACAAACACCTCCGACTTCGCATGGGTTTAGCAATATTGACAGCCATGTATATACGTCCCACAGGAAGTATTTTGTGTAACTTTGCGAAGCTGTAACTATCGTCTTAGCAAACCTCGCTTGTTCGCCGAAAGGGAAGTTCCCATGTCATGCTTCCAAGTGCCGTGCCACGCAGGTGATTGGTCGCGGCATGTGCGGTGCGATGACCCTTTGCTGACACCGACTCCAGTCCCCCCTGCTGACCGCACTGCGCCAATCTTCCTTTGCGCACGCGCTTTCTCCCGCCCTCTGGCTCGTCTTCCACCTCTTATCGCCGCAGTGAAACAGCGCCCGCGCGGACCACCACTTCCGCCGGCCTCTTCCACTTCCCATCAGGGCCTGCTTTCTTCCTGTGGCAGTTTCTAGGTCCACTGCATCTATGCACCATTCATCCACGACTGCTTCAGCGGACTGCGTCATAGAGCATCTAAACTTGATGTATTCGCTGATGCTTGCGCTCGCATCTTTCGGCGAGATTTTTTCTACTAACCTTCGGTTCTATGGTGACCTTGCGGATTCCTACTCCGCTTCTGGTCTAGGTGCGATCATCACGTAGGCAGTTGTATCTCGGTCGCCGGTTCAGCAAACTTCACTGCACGTGGATCCGTTTGACGTATAAGTCGGATCTCGGTGAGAGCTGTGCGTCAGCCATGGGAGCGGGCGCGAGTCAACCCGCGAGTCAGCATCAGCGTCGGTCGCAGCCTGCCAGGCCGCCGCAGTACTACCCGCCCGTGCCCTACACCGTTCCCGCAGGCCCCGTTCCGCAACCTCCCTACGCCCACGCGCCGTACCCCTATGGATACGCGTACCACCCGCAGCCCGCTGGCGGAGTGGCTCCCTCCCCATGGTCGCAAAACCCGCAGTACCCGCATCCCGCGCCGCATCCGCACGCTGCCCCGTGGTACAACGGGTATCCCGGCCACGCGCCGCCGCCGTACCAGGTGCCCGTTCCGCCGATGATGGCGATGGCGCCTCCGCCGGTTGTGGCGGAGCCGCAGCAGGCGGTGACGATAAGGAACGAGGTGAACGTGAAGCGCAGCTCGCTGCGCCTGCAGCGCGATCCAAGCGATCCCACCAAGCACCTGGTCGCCTTCACCTTCGATGCCACCGTGAGCGGCAGGTGAGAACTACCAGGTTTCTAGTGATTCCTAATTTTCCCTCCCCGTCAGGTTGGAGTTTCGACTGCTTGGATTTTAGACTATTTCTGATTCGTCTTTCTCATGTCGCTCGGATTTTCTCGAATGCAATTTGCTTGTGAGCTGATGTAACTCGGCTTTCTTGCACCCCCCTCCCTCCCTCCCCCCCCTCCTCCGTGCAGTCTGAGCGTGTTCATCGCGGCGCAGGAGGGCGAGGGGTGCAGCTTCAGGGAGCTGTACCCGCACCTGCACACGGCACGGGTGTTCCGCTTCAGCAAGGGTCTGGGTCAGAAGTTCGTACAGGCGCCAGGCACGGGCGTCGACCTCGCGTGCATCCCGGAGGAGCACCTCCTTGGGGTTTCCCCCACCAACCCCGTCTACCCTCTCGTCATCCGCACCCGCGTCGAACCCAGAGGCTCGAAACCCCCCACAGTAGCATCTCCGGTTAGTAGCGCTAGCAGCGATGTCAGTAACCCTCAGTCCAGCGCGCGCGGCAACGCGTCTAGTGAGCCGTGCTCCTCCTCTGCCGCCTCGCCTCTTGCTTCCGGCGGCGTAGACCCGTGCGAATCTGACCCCGGCGCTCCGCTGTCCCGGGCGATACAGTCGCAGATGACCTACGCCGTTTTTGAGAAGGTTGCGGTGACGCGTACAGAGAAAGAGGACGGGGGGGAGGAAAATGGGAAAGGGAAGGGAAGGGGGGATTTGCCGGTGCTGTTCGCTGTGCGGCCTTTGAAGCAGAAGATATGGGTGGATGGCACGAGCTATGAGGTGCAGGTGGGTGCTGACCCGTCTAGTACAAGCTTCTCATCCATTGCATCCATATGTGCTCCCAGCTCTCTCATAATTGCATGTCGCCACCCCCCGTCATTGCATGTCGCCACCCCCCGTCATTGCATGTCGCCACCCCCCCGTCATTGCATGCCGCCACCCCCCCGTCATTGCATGTCGCCACCCCCCCGTCATTGCATGTCGCCACCCCCCCGTCATTGCATGCCGCCACAGTCTCATCATGACACTGTTGTAACCCTCTTAGTGGAACGTGTTACCACACGTCTGTGTCTGCTCCTCCCGCGGCGACGCCGCACCTACCTTACCATTGCATCACATTGTCATGCCAACCCCTGTACTTTCATGCCAACCCCTCCGTGCTTCCTTTCATCATGCCTCGCTTATGTCCATCCGTACCATCGCATCGCCCTTCCTGCAGGAGATCTACGGAATAGAGCAGTGCGGGAGGGCCACCACAGGCAGGGGCAGGAAGGGCGAGCAGGCAGCGGGAGAGGGAGGGGAGGGGGGTAAGGGGGGTGGGGGGTCTGCATTGGAGGGCGAGGAGGAGGATGAGGATGAGGTGGCGGGCAAGGAGTGCGTGATATGCATGTCAGCGCCCAGAGACACCACCGTGCTGCCATGCCGCCACATGGTAGGGATAAACATTCTTGCTCTAGTGACCATACTCGCGCCACATTCACCACGCTCTATGCGCTTTGAAGGTTCATTTGATAAGTTCTTGAGCACTTATCAAACGTATGATTGCAACAGTTTTGCAATGCTTTGGTGTGCTTCCCTCATCGCCCCTCACAACACCCCCCCCCCCCCTCCCCTCTCCTCTCCTCTCGCCTCCCCGGCAGTGCATGTGTGCGGACTGCGCCAAGGTGCTGCGCTACCAGACCAACAAGTGCCCCATCTGCCGCCAGCCCGTGCAATCATTGCTCGAAATCCGAGTGCCGCCCAGAATGCCCTCGCTGGACGGGCCTGAGCCAACCTCCCTCGAGCAGAGGTACAGTCAGGGGCAGGAAGACAAGCACAGGCAACACCTCTTGGTGCCGTGCCTGCTGATCGTCCCCATCATGGGCCTGGAAATTCTGACCCCAGCAGCAGAGCCAGTCAGGTGGGAGGTTCTGCACCGCCGCATGGTGAAGTGAGTCGGGGGGTGAATTCAGAGGCGGGGAGGGCATGGGTGCGAGGGGAGGTGGTGATGGAGCGGGGAGGAGTGGCGGTGCTGATGTGGCGGAGCTGGGTGAGCGGATGGATTCTCTCGTGCTGGGCACTGGTAGAGGCAGATGACATGCCAGGCCTTTTAGACAGCAGTTCGAGCTTTGTATGTAAATTCTGCATAATGCTAGCTCATGTGTTCCAATGCAAATTGTTACTATCTGTCACTAGTTAGGGTTTGTTAGAGAGGTGCTGCCTTCTGTCATCTTCAAATCGCTCGCCTGTCGGTGCTTAGTGCTTCTGAATTGACCCGCCCTCCGCCCAGTCTGCCCGTTGCGATGCACAGCGCCGCGAGTGATTGTTTATCGCCGCCACTTCCATCCCCATGCATCCCGCTGTGCTCTCAACTTCCTGCATCAATGAATCATAAGCTGCCCGAATCCTCCCCAAGCTCAAACTGCGCAGGCTGTCACGTCCACCCAAAGGCAGGAGGGACCACCCCACCCCACTCCACCCCACCCCACCTCACCCCACAACAGAGCTACAGAGCGAGCGACACCCGCGCAGGGGAACATGTTTCGCTGGGCGCTGCAGCGACGAGGCGGTAAGACAAGTGCCCGCACCGCAGCACCTGCTTCCGCCTTGGTCTGTCACTCCGCCGTTCTTCCCTCACCTCACCTCACCGCTCCACCACCAACCTCCTTCCTCCTGTCTCCCCCTCGCCGCTCGCCTAAGCTCGAACCACATGTCGTTGTCGCTCAAGCCAGGAAGCCACTGACGGCATTGTGCGCCGTACTGTTCACGCTTCTGTTCGTACAGAAGTATGCTAGAGCTTCGCTGCGGCGCAATGCAGAAGAGCCCACCATGACAACAAGCCTCTCGTCTCGTCTCGTGTCGTCTCGTGTCGTGGCGTGTCCCCCTCACTCCCCATTCCTGCGCCATCCTCTGCTCCTCGCTCATGCCCAGACCATCACTAGATCATTGAGCCATGCCTGCCGTTGTGCGCCGTCGGATTAGCTGCGAAGCATTTAGTCTGTCGAATTCACGATAGTCACTCAGCGTGGCGCAAATCCACTAGGACTGCTTTGATTTATGTACAGCTCATCGAGCCTCTTTAGTTATAACCTTACGCCCAACGAGACCGCGGATTCGGCAGTATGCAGTCCGGTCGCCCCGTTCCATCCCATCCCGCGTGTCGACGTATCGCAGCGCGGAGACACACACACCCCATAGCACGCACGCCTTACCGAGATTCCCGTTCGCGCGTCAGAGTAGAGCAGCGCTCGCCTCTAGCTCGCCTTCTCCTGCCACTGATTCTGTCTCTAGTGGCCCTGCCGTGCGTGCCGGTAGCGGTAGCGCAGGCCAGGACAGATGCCTTCGCCAAGCTACCCGGGCAGCCGGCGGGCGCGCCCAAGTTCAACCAGTCGGCGGGGTACATAATGGTGGAGGGGCGCAAGGCGTACTTCTACTGGCTCATGGAGGCCATCGGCCAGCCCGAGTCGAAGCCGCTGCTGCTCTGGCTCAACGGCGGTGCGTCGCTGTTGTAGGAGCGTTATAGGACGCTCAACGGGGGTGCGTTGTAGGACCCCCGTTGTAGGACGCCCGTTGTAGGACGCCCGTTGTAGGGCGCCCGTTGTAGGGCGCTCCGTCAGTGCGTTAGAAGGATATGCATTCCTCGTGTAGGTTCTGCTCCGACCATGGCGTCGTTCCTCCAATTCCCGCATCGCCGTTGCGCAGCTTGGGACGCACCTCAGAAGTGGCCGCGTGTAGAGCCAGTCGTGCGCCTAGCTCCTCCCGCAGCGGCTCGTGCGCCCGTCCGTCCGTCCGTCCGTCCGTCCGTGCATGCGTGCATGCGTGCATGCGTGCATGTGTGCATGCGTGCATGTGTGCATGCGTGCATGCGTGCGCAGGGCATGTGGGCGCGTCACCTACGCGTCCCTCTCCATCGCCCTCCGCCGTGTCCCACGCATTCGCGCGCGCCTCTCCATCTCCCTTCCTCGCATCTCTCAATGCCCCCCATCCCCCCATCCCCCCATCCCCCCATCTCCCCATCCCCCATCTCCCATCTCCCCATCTCCCCATCTCCCCATCTCCCCATCTCCCCATCTCCCCATCTCCCCATCTCCCCATCTCCCCATCTCCCCGTGTCCGCCAGGCCCCGGGTGTTCGTCGGTGGGGTGCGGGCTGTTCGAGGAGGTGGGGCCGTGGCGCGTCGCGTCCAAGGCCGCCACGGCGCTCGTCTACAACCGATTCGCCTGGAACCGACGTCAGTCGCGCGCACACCGCACATCCCTTCCTTCACATCCCCCCCGCGCGCCCTCGCTCCGCCACACCCCGCCTTATACGCTGTCACAACCACTTGGTTCGTCCCCCACTCCCGCGACCGGGCTATCACCCTCTTCCCCCCCTCTTCCCCCCCCTCTCCCTCCTTGCCCCTCTCCGCCGTGCCGCCCGCCCGTGCAGTGGTGAACGTTGTGTTTCTCGAATCGCCCGTGGGGGTGGGGTACTCCTACTCCAATGACACGTCAGACTACACCACCGATGACGCACAGACAGGTGATGACACGTCAGTCTGTAAGACAGTGTTTGTGCATCGTAGCCTTCATCGCATCACGTCTAGTATCCCACACTCCCTCTCTTCTCCTCCCCCCTCTCCCCCACCCCACCCCCAGCGAAGGACAACCACGCGTTCCTGGTGGGCTTCCTGGCGCGCCACCCGCGATACGCGGGGCGGGAGTTCTACATCGCGGGGAGAGCTACGCGGGTGAGGGGGGGGATGACTGGCCGGCTAGGAGGAGCATAGACTGTGGGAGTGGGGTGATGGTTGCAATAGGCGTGTGTTGCTTCCACTTCCTTTGCTGCTACCACGCCTGTCTATCCTCCCGCCATTTGCACCCCAGCCCAACAGATATGTCATGCTCCTCTCTTGCCCCTCCTCCCTCGTCGCATCTCCCCAGGCCACTACATTCCGCAGCTCGCCGCCCGAATAATCGAGCAGAATCAGATGGAGGGCGGCACTCGTGTCAACTTGGACTTGTCGGGCATCTTCCTGGGCAACCCCTTCGTGAACTACGCCCACGACACCAAGGCACGCCGCTGCCCCTCCCCCCCCTGCCGCCTCATAGCTTCCGTGGGCAGTGGGATGTGGTGGGGCATGGGACATGAAGCAAGCATGGGCATTGGTGGATTGGGGAGTGCGCGCTGCAGGGGGCGGGAGGAGCTGGGGATGCGTGAGGAGCTGGGGAGCTGGGGGCGCTGCACGAGGCACGAGGCATGAGGCACGAGGCACGAGGCACGAGGCAGCAGCCCACTGCAGCTGATGAATGGCCACCCGCGCGCCTGGCACTCCCGTCCCATGCTTCCAGTGGCGCCCACATGTCATGCATGCAAGGACTTGCAGCGATCCAATCTCATTGCTTCAGCATCCTCGCCCATGCATGTTGCCATGCCTCCCATGCATCACGCATCATCCCATCCATCCACCCCCCCGTGTGTGTGTGCGTGTGCGTGTGCATGTGCGTGTGCATGTGCATGTGCATGTGCGTGTGCATGTGCGTGTGCATGTGCGTGTGCATGTGCGTGTGCATGTGCGTGTGCATGTGCGTGTGCATGTGCGTGTGCATGTGCGTGTGCATGTGCGTGTGCGTGTGCATGTGCGTGTGCATGTGCGTGGTGCATGTGCGTGTGCATGCGCGCGCCACAGGCCCCATCCAGTTCTTCTACGACCACGGCATGCTCAGCTCCGCGCTCTACAACGACGCCATCAATGTCTGCCCCGCCCGCCTGCCCGCTTTTCCCTCCACCGCTTTTCCCTCCACCGCTGTTCCCTCCACCGCTGCTCCTTTCCTCTCTGGAATGGTTTCTGCTCACCCACCGACCTCATCACAAGCGTCTTCCTTTGCCTTCCTCCCCTGCTGCTCCTCTCTCATTTCCCCAACCCTCGCTGTTGCACCACCGTCACTGTGTGCTTCTGTCTGCCCCCCATGCGCCCCCTCCCCCCGTGCGCCTGGCAGTGCGACTTCTCCTTTGGCTCGCCCGACCTGGAGTGCCGCGGCCACATCAACGCCGCCTTCTCGCCATGGGTATGCCGCATGCATGGGGTATGGGTATGCATGCCGCATGGGTATGGTTATGCCGCATGGGGTATGGGTATGCCGCATGGTATGCATGCTGCATGGGGTATGGGTATGCATGCTGTGGGGTATGGGTATGCATGCTGCATGGGGTATGGGTGTGCATGCTGCACGGGGTATGGGTATGCATGCTGCATGGGGTGTGGGTATGCATGCTGCATGGGGTATGGGTATCCATGCTGCATGGGGTATGGGTAAGCCGCACGGGTATGGGTAAGCCGCACGGGGTATGGGTATGCCGCATGGGGTATGGGTATGCCGCACGGGGTATGGGTATGCCGCACGGGGTATGGGTATGCCACACGGGGTATGGGAGGTGCCACGTGGTGCATCACATGTGATGTGCGGCTTAGCTATGGCGCACACGGCTTGGCCACGGCTCTTCATCTCTCTTTGCTACCTTCGCCCTCCCCACTCCCCGCGCTCCCCACATCTCTCGCATGCATTCGCTGACGTCTTGATTAGCTCGTGTGATCATGTGGGGTTCAGCATTCATCTTTCCTCCCCACGCCCCGTCCCTCTCTGCTGCCGTGCCCCGCGCGTGTGTCAACGCATGGCCATGGGTCCGTGTGTGTGGGCAGTACGACCCCATCGATCCCTACAGTGAGTGGCGCCTGCACCCTCTTCCCCCGGTGCCTCACGCCTTTCCCAGTTTCTCCTTCTGCGCTCGCCTCACCCACCTGCCCACCCACCTGCACACCCACCACCACGTTGCTCCCCACTGTCCGCGGGCCTTCTCTCCAACCATCCCCATCCAACAGCCACATTCCCCCCCTTCCCCTCTCTCTCTCTTCCCCAGACATCTACGCGCCCTTCTGTCTGGCGGACGTGTCGGCAGCACGCCTGTCTGCCTTTGTGCGCATGAACCCGCGCCTGCGCTTCTCCATGGCCGCTCAGCAGCAGGCAGCACAAGCGCTGCAGCAGCAGCAGCAGCAGCAGGGTGCCTTGGCTTATCCGGGTGATCCCTCCAGCGCTGCACCACAGGGTGCGCGGCTGAGCGGCAAGGCGGCGGACCCGCTGGACAGCGCAGCGTGCATGGACGCGTGGGTGCAGCGCTACCTGCGCTCGCCTGCCGTCTACAGGACCGTCAAGGCGCCCGCCGCTCGCGCCATGCAGTGGAGTGTGTGCACGTGAGGCAGGGGGGCCAGGGGGACAGGAAGAGCAGGGGACAAGAAGGGCAGGGGGGACAAGAAGAGCAGGGGGACAGGAAGAGCAGGGGGGACAGGAAGAGCAGGGGGGACAGAAGGGCAGGGGGGGACAGGAAGGGGCAGGGGGGACAGGAAGGCAGGGGGACAGGAAGGCAGGGGGACAGGAAGGGCAGGGGGACAGGAAGGGCAGGGGGGACAGGAAGGGCAGGGGGACAGGCAAGGGCAGGGGGACAGGAAGGCAGGGACAGGAGGGCGGGACAGGAAGGCAGGAGGCGGACAGGAAGGGCAGGGGGGAACAAGGAAGGGCAGGGGACAGGGGAGGGGGGACAGAAGGGCAGGGGGCAGGAAGGGCAGGGGCAGGAAGGGCAGGGGGACAGGAAGGGCAGGGGACAGGAAGGGCAGGGGGACAGGAAGGGCAGGGGGACAGGAAGGGGACAGGGGGGGGGACAGGAAGGGCAGGGGGGACAGGAAGGGCAGGGGGGACAGGAAGGGCAGGGGGACAGGGAAGGGCAGGGGGGACAGGAAGGGCAGGGGGGACAGGAAGGGCAGGGGGACAGGAAGGGCAGGGGGGACAGGAAGGCAGGGGGACAGGAAGGGCAGGGCAGGGGACAGGAAGGGCAGGGGGGCAGAAGGGCAGGGGGGACAGGAAGGGCAGGGGGACAGGAAGGGCAGGGGGACAGGAAGGGGGCAGGGGGGGGGGACAGGAAGGGCAGGGGGACAGGAAGGGCAGGGGGGTAGGCTGGTGCTCAAGCCACGGTTGCACGCAGCCTGCCTCTCTTTACCGCCTTCGCCTCTGCTGCTCTCTGTACCCTCCATCTCTTCATCCCCCTCGTCTCCCCATCCCCCTCGGCTCACCATCCCCCTCAGGCCCCCATCCCCCCTCTCTCCCCCTTCCCCCCTGGCAGCAACGGCATAGACTACAGCAGCAACGACCAGGGCGCGGACATCATCCCCACCATCCAGGGGGCTGCTGGCGCACCCCCTCCGCTTCTGGATCTTCTCGTACGCCCCCCGCCTCCCGCCCCTGCCCCCGCCTTATGTGCCCTTGTCTCTCCGCCCTTCTCCTTCGGTCCCTACCATCGTTGAACGTTTTGCTGGCAGTGATCCGTGCCGTAAACGCATGCGCCTCATCCAGCACTCACATCTTCGGGTCTGAAACCTCCCTTTTCTCGCTCCACCTGCCACATATCCCCCAGCGGCGATGCGGACAGCGTGGTGCCGTTCACGGGCACGCGCGTGTGGATAGAGGCGCTGGGGCTGGCCGTGCTGCAGCCGCAGTACCCCTGGCTAGCGCCGTCGGGCCAGGTACGGCTGGGACAGGCCTGCTCTTGGGATGGGGGAATTGCAATTTGAATCGCGCACCAATGGTTACACCGCACGCTCAACCACATCACATGGTAAGCTGCAGTGCCCGAGCACCCTCCACTCCGCCTGCTTGCATTGGTGATGCCCGCTCTGCATCCATGTGTGCATGTGTGCATGTGTCCGTGTGTGCAGGTGGGCGGGTGGGCGACGCGGTACGAGGGGCTGACATGGGTGACGGTGAGGGGGCGGGCCACCAGGTGCCCACCGGCAAGCCCGAGGAGGCGTTCGCACTCTTCCAGGCCTTCCTCAGCGGCCACGACCCGCCCTACACCGCCTCTGGCTGACCGCTCTGCGCCCGAGGTGGCACTGTGGTGTGGGAAAACTACCTGCTATGAGTTGCCTTGTAATGTATTTATTGAGTTATGTGTTTCCGGCTCACCAAGTGATGGTCGTGTTCAACAGAGAGCAGGTGAAGGAGCCATCTCATGCCATGGCCAGCTCATGTGGTTGGTGAGATGTCTGTGTCTGCCATCCCATCCCATCCCATGGTGCCTAGTTCAGCTAATAAATAAGGAACAGCTTGTTCCGCTCCAGCATCAACGGCCTCCGTGGATGGCACGTGTTGATAAGCTACACAATCAACCAGGGCCTGCTGGTGTTCCAACATGGAAGTAGTAGGTGCATCGGCACACCACTGCAAAGCTGCACTGCTGGCTTGCCTGCAAAGGTGGTCTAGTGCGGTGAAGTGTCATCATTGCGCCCCGACCCTCTATGCGGCCCTGACCCTTGCCCTCGTGTACCACGCTCTAAAGAAGCCTGTTGAACATGCTCACTGGACAACAAAACTAGTGCCTCTTCCGTTCCCCTTCCCCCCTCACACCGCACTCTTCTCCCCCCCCTTCCCCCCTCACACCACGCTCTTCTCCCCCCCCCTCCTCCTCTCCACCCTCCTCCTCATCCTCTCAGCGGCCCGCTCTGCCTTCTCACCGCCCGGCCCGCCCACCGCACCCCACCGCTGAAACTGCTGCTGCCTGGCGCGTGCGCGCTCTTTCTCCTCAGCGCTCTTGCTTGCGTGGCAGTGCGGGCACGAGACACCCTCCTCCCACAGCGGCGACTGCATGTCCGCCGCGTCCACCGGCTGCTGGCACGCGTAGCACAGGCGGAAGGTGGCGGTGGGTTGCAGCCCGTGGCCCACGGCCACGCGCTTGTCGAAGACGAAGCACTCGCCTTCCCACAGGCTGTCGTCGGGAGGCACCTCGGCCAGATAGCGCAGGATGCCGCCGTCCAGATGGTACACCTGCACCACCACGTGCACCACATAGACAAGCGTGGGGGGGGAGGGGGCCGGCAAATGGGAGGCTTGTGAGCTTGTTGGGCCTATTGAGACGACACCATGGCAAGGGAGTGTGGGAGGCATGGCCCGACGGCACGCAGCAGGGCGAGCACGTGGGCAGGGCAGCACAGGGCGTGGCGGCGGGCGGACCTCTTTGAAGCCGAGGTGCAGCATGTACGCGGTGGCCTTCTCACAGCGGATGCCCCCCGTGCAGTACATCGCCACACGCGGAGGGGACGCCGGTGCAGGGGAGGATGCGTCCGGGAGGGGTCAGGGGAAATGGTGGAGCGGAGGAGGGGCGAGGGGAGAGGCAGTGGGGGAGGAGTGAGGGGAGGCGGAGGCGGGAGGGGAGGTGGTGGAGACCCACTCGGGAACTGGCGGAAGGAGCGTGTGTGCGGGTCGATGGCATGCTTGAAGGCGCCGATGCGCGTCTCGTAGTCGTTGCGCACGTCCACCACCACCTGGAGAGGGGAGGGGGAGGCCAAGGGAGGGTGGTGGGGGGAAGGCAAGTGGGTGACAAGCAGTGGGCGATTGGGAAGGGATGATGGAGGGAGTCGGTGTTGGAGAGACATGAAATGGGAGGGAAGGCAGCAGCGTTGCTGGTAGAGCATGAGTGATGTAGGTGGTGGTCGGGGCGGGCGGAGCACTGACGGTGGTGGGGTCGGAGATGAGGTGGTTCCACTCGTGCGGACTGACATACGCGCCCACGCCATCCGCGGGATTCACCTCGGGCATGCCCAGCGTCACGATCTGACCAGTGCAGCGTGGCGAGGGGTGGAAGGGGGGAGAGAATGGGAGAGCTTTGCGCGTCTGAGAAGAGATAGACATGGGATTCGTGAGTGCTGGGTGTGGCATGCAATTAGCGAGCACCTCTAGCCCCATGAGGAAGCACACTGGGACTTCCCTCTCCCTTCCCTCCCTCCCCTCCCCTCCCCTCCCCTCCCCTCCCCTCCCCTCCCCTCCGCTCCGCCCCCTCCGTCCCCCCCTGCGCGCACCTCTTTCTTCACTTTAACGCGCACGTGGTTCCATCTGAAGGGCGCGTCTCTCCCCGCCGCCAGCGGAGAACACTCCGACAGCCCGTCCACTGCGCCCCCCTCCCCTCCCCCTTCCCCTTCTGCCTCGCCTCCCCCTCCCCCTGCTCCTCCGCCTCCATCGCCTCCGCTGCGCGGTGCGCCTCTCTCTCCTCCGCGCCCCGCCGGCTGCACGGTGGTGCGTAGCCCCGCGAGCCGGGCATCGGCGCGCAGCCAGTCAATGACGGCGGCGGCGGCGGCGGGCGTGCCGCAGATGCTGCCGTTGATGCCCTCCCGCGCGACGATCACGCCGCCCGACACGCGCAGGTCGCGGCACACCTGCTCCAGCGGCCGCTTCAGCGCCTCGAAGTCGTCCAGCCGAGCGAACTTGTAGAAAGAGATCACCACTAGACTGCTCCGCCCATGGCTGCTGTTGCTGCTGCTGCCGCTATCAGAGCTCGCGTTGCTGGCTGTTCTAGACAGATTAGCGCGCACGTCAGCCTCACGCGAGTTCGCCGGTTCTGTGTTAAAACCCCCCCCTCTGCGCCGACCTTGCTAGATCCCTCTTCCCCGCGCGCCATGGCGCAAGGCCGGATTCTGAGCAATGTGTCGCTGGCAGCATGCAAAGCCCTCCCCGAAACCTGAAAATGAGAGACGGGTATCCTGCTGTCCGCTCCCGTGGCGATCAAACAGCCTTTGTTGGCTGCGTGGAGCCACTCCGTGCCCGCTATAGGCGGCGGAAGCAGCGTGCGGCGCGACCGAGAGGCGCAGAAGGAGGCAGTGAGCCTCAGGTGGGGAGAGAGCGCGGTGGTCTGATGCACCATATCCCCCAGATTCCGCTCGCCGAGCCGCGCAAGCAATGGGACAGCCACTGGCGTGACGCGCGCGTGGAAGAGACGGTCGGATACTTCGCGGAATGCACTGCCGCCACGGGCCGCACGGTGGTGAACGGCGTTAGCAGCGGATCGCGGGGGCGAACCGCGCAGCGGAAACGGCCAAAAGGGTCGAGGCTAGCACTCGAACTTGCGTGGCGAGTGCAGATACAACTGCGGTTCGGGTGCTCGTTAAGGACGCTACGCGAGGCGCAAAAATGCAGTGCACGAAGGTCCTTGACAATACGGACATCTATGAATCCAGAGGTAAGAGTCGAAAGGTATAGGTGGTCTGGCGGTCAGCAGTACGAAGGCAGGTAAATGAGTTGTGCCGCCAGAGATATACAAGAGCGGGGGAAGGTGGGCTTTTGATAGATTCAGTTGGGAGGGAGAGGCGCAAGATAGCCCTGGCAACTTGTGGATTGGTCTGAGGTTTCCAGCGCAGCAATGAGCAAACTCCCGCGTTGTAATCAGCCCACTCATCTTATATATCAGGAACAATTCGTATTATTGCATTTATGAAGTAAATATTCACAACTTCATAAAACTACCATTCCCCAGCCTCAACTAAAAACCACGTTTGACCAATGGAGGCATTCCCGAGGCACGAGCGTGATCAGGTCTCGTGATGAGCCCCCTTCGCTGGGCCGCGAAGCTCGCCAAACAAGCCGCGCATCAACGTGACGCTCGGCAGAGGCTCGGCCGCCGTTCACGAAACTCCAAACCGTCAAATATCTGCCAAACGTGGCACGTCTGGGCAACCAGTGTCAGCGGCGAAAACGGAGTCGTATAGGCAAAGTTGCCCAAAAGCACGAATGTCCGTCACGTCCGTCAGGTTTGAAGCCAGCCCTTGGTTGCGCCTCGGGAGCTCCTTCCAGCAGCAGTGTTTGGATCCGGCGCTCGTCGTTGACTCTTGCTGAAAAGCCCAGTGCTCCCCAAATTCCACCCAACCAGAGCTCCAGTTTCAGCCCACTAGAGTTCAGCTGATAGATGTTGGATAGCTTGAAGCTTCAGCACTATCTGCTTCCTCCGTTCAGGCAAACTCAGTTGTCCATTCTGCCATCTTCTATAGCCATGATTCGCACCTTTCTGTGATTCAACGCCTTCATTCTCTCTAGTTCTTAGCTTCAATAGTGAAAATGACGAACAAGTGGTTGAAGTCGCTTTTCCGCTGTAAGCCTCAGCCTGCAAAGATTAAGCCTGAGGTGAGTGGTCCTTAAAATTGATTGAGCTCCTGAGGAAATGGTGTTCCTTCAGTTCGGGTCTTCTCTTTCACTCGTCTCGCAAATAATGGCATTGTCTCTGACTTACTGCCTCAGGAACTCCTCGAGGAAGATTCTTACTCTGAAGGCGTCTACTCGAAGGATGATACTGCACAGCCAACAAAAAGCTTCAAATCTTCAGCTATATCTGCTAATTCTGCGCGAGAAAGTTCACCGGTTCAGTCTGCTCGAACAGTTCCCTCATTTTATGTCAACCCTGATGGATCAAGCGCTCGAGTTCCCGCTTCACCGTCGGCTTCACGCTCAGCGGCCAGGTCGCCGTCACCTTACAGTCGCTCCGCCAATCCAGCATCCCCCTCCATCAAGGAGTCTGGAAATGGTTCCCGCTTCACAGCACCTCAGTCACCCTCTACCTCTTGCACCTCTGTTACCATGCCTCCTCCAGCGGTTTCTCAAGGCTCGGTTTCGCATGCTCGCTCATTTCGTTCCAAATCTGCTGCTAGATCCGTTGCAGAAGGACCGTCGTGCTCAGGCGTATCAGTGAAGTCCTCGCCCAAGAGGGAATCGAGCACCGCGACATCTTCGTGGTCTGGCCGGCGCATGTACAGCGCCGCGAAGAAGCAATCAACAGCACCTGCGTTGTCAGCTGAGTCTGCAGCAGCTATCAGAATTCAGACTGCATATCGTGGCTATCTGGTGAGCTTATTGCAAAGGAGCTAATCTGGCTACTTCACACCCAGTGCACCCGGACAGTTGTTTTTTCCCCATGAAAAACTCTGACATTGGTCCTTGCGCTGAATGGTTGTTGCATCAGGCCCGTAAGGCTCTTCGTGCACTGAAGGGGCTGGTTCGCCTACAGGCCTTGGTGAGAGGCCATATTGCCAGAAAGCAGGCAAAGGCCACTCTTCGATGCATGCATGCCATCGTTCGAGTACAGGCTCGGTTCCGTGCCCGTCGGGTCCGAATGTCCAGGTTCGTGCCTCCTTTCTGATTGGCCATTGCTCCCTGACAAGGTTTCCCATCTTACAGAGGTTTATTGTGGCTGCAGGGAGGGACAACTGGTTCAGCGGCAGTTGGAGAAAATTTCGCGCAAGTATCACCCGGAAGTGGTCCTCAAACGCAACGAGGTAGGATTTGTTTGCCTGAGTACAACGGTCAAGCCAGCCAGGGACGCGTTTTGTTGCGATGTTTGACGCTCGAACGTTTTCATTTCAGGTTGGATGGTGCGATGCTTCTGGAACGGTTGAGGAGATTCAAGCAAAGCTTCAGAGCAAGCAGGAAGCCATCCTTCGTAGGGAACGGGCTTTAGCATATGCTGACTCTCGTTCGGTAAGTGACACACATGGTTCTCAACGCTTTTTGCGTTTTCTTGTCTCGTCGGAGCTAATTCTCGTTTTTTCTTATTCGTTCAGCTGTGGAAGAAGGAGAAGCCTACACAGCAACGCTCGATGGCTTACATTGATTGTGAGCCCGACAAGGGTGGATGGGGGTGGAGTTGGTTGGAGCGTTGGATGGTCGCGCGGCCATGGGAGAATCGTCTCATGATGGCGCACTACCAGGCCGTTAACCCCAAAGCCAAGCGTCAGGGTGCACTCCGTCTGTTTGAGGCTCAGGCAGTGGAGTCCAAGCCCCACCGCACCGTGGAGCTGGTGGACATGGGGAAGTGCAAGAGCTGCGGTCGCCGTGTCCTCGTCAAGCCCTCCGTCGCGCACGCAGCCAACGCCGCTGCTGCTGCTCAGGCTTCCGCTAATGGCACTGCGCCCTCGAAGGCCATCCCCCACACCTGCAACATCTGCGCTCCCACAGTTTCCTGGGCCGCCAAGGTCGGAGCTCTTCCACCACGTGAGCCTTCCCCCGCTGTGACCACTGGCAACAACCGTGGGGCAGCAGCTGCAATTTCGCGTCTGTCACTTGGAGCTTCGCATGAACCACAACCCCTTGCAGATGCTGTGGTTGGTTCCGGCTCCCTGAGCCGATCGGCCAACCGTTCAGTTTCCAACTCGGGCACCCATGCACCTCTCTCGCCATCAGCATCCTTCAAACGCGCCAGTGCATCGCCCCGCGTTGTTCCTCACTTCATGGAGACCACTGAATCCACGCGCGCCAGGACGAGGGCTAACAGTGCGCCCCGAGGTCGCCAGTCTGATGGTTCTGCATACAAGCGAGCCCTGACACCTCAGGAGACAGGGGGGGTCCTTGCTCCGATAGTCCTTGCACCACAAGGTGACGCATCAGCAGACCATAAGGAGGAGCAGGCATCAGAAGCTCAACTGTGAGAACCCCTACACCTGCTTGCCCCCAGATTCCCCACCATTTAGCACAGCTTTCTTTGCCTCTACTGACTTCGTTGTCTTAGCAGAGCTGATTTCTTTATGGGTTTCTGCAGCTTGAATCTCCTTAGCTATGTCATACTTGGGGCTTTGAAGCCTTGGTTCTTAGCTGTAATAAGTATTGGAATCTTAGTGATAACGTGGAAATACAGGATAACATGAAAGCAATGGGCTGTATGAAAACAACTAGCACGGATACTTTTGATAACAACTCTACCAAGCCAAACTTGCACCACACACCTAACGCAAACACTCATTTATACCATTGCACCAATGACTTGAGCCATGGCGTGGAATGCGATACCTACTGAAGGAGCACCTGCTGTCACTCATTATGGGAAATTAAAGCGAGAAGTTAAAATAGTGAAGGCTGGCCCAACTTGAAAGAGGGCTCCCTCTGAGCGACTCAAGTTGGAAACCAGCTTCAACAAATAACTGTTCCAAAATGGCAGGGGTAGGCAGATCGGAATTTCAGCTCAAAGCTGATTGGGTCCCGCCAAAATGTTTATCGCAGGGCGAAATGCGCGACACACAAATCTGACAACGAATCCTTGTCAGGGGTCGCATTTCTCGATGCGACGCTTGCACGGCGAGTGCAAGCAACGAGTTGGGGCTCTCGGATCAAGATGGGCCCAACTCGTTTTCAAGTTGGGCCTGGGTTCACAATTGCCGAGGATTCACTACCTTCCCCACGCAAAGCGATATCCAGCTAGCAAACAATCGCCGAGAAAGCAAGCTAGTTCCGCTAGCTGCCCCACCGCATAGAAACTTAGTGCCGAGGGGCTGTGAGAGTGTGGCGCAGCGGGAGAGATAGAGAGGGAGAGACGCGGATAGCGAGGGAGACACGGCGAGAAAGGCTGAGGCACGGCGATAGAGAGAGAGAGACACGGGGAGAGAGGGAGAGACGCGGAGAGAAAGGGTGAGACGCGGCGATAGAGAGAGAGAGACACGCGGGGAGAGAGGGAGAAACGCGGCGAGAGAGGGAGAGTCGTGGGCAAGAGAAAGAGAAACGCGGGCGAGATAGGGAGAAACGCGGGCGAGAGAGGGAGAGAGAGGGAGACGCGGCGTGAGCGGGAGAGACGTGGCGAGAGAGGGAGAGACGCGGGGAGAAAGGGTGAAAGACGCGGCGAGAGAGGGAGAGACGCGGGGAGAAAGGGTGAGACGCGGCGATAGAGAGAGGGACTCGGGGAGAGAGGGAGAAACGCGGCGAGAGAGGGAGAGTCGTGGGCAAGAGAGGGAGAAACGCGGGCGAGATAGGGAGAAACGGGGGGAGAAAGGGTGAGAGACGCGGCGAGAGAGAGAGAGAGAGAGAGAGAGAGAGAGAGAGAGAGAGAGAGAGAGAGAGAGAGAGAGAGAGAGAGAGAGAGAGAGAGGCGTCGTTAGCGGGAGAGACGCGGTGAGAGAGTGAGAGAGTGACGTGGTGAGGAGAGTGGCACGGTTAGAAGGAGAGAGGCGGAGGTGAGAATAGGGAGAGAGTGGCGCAGTGGGGGAGAGAGAGAGAGAGAGAGAGAGAGAGAGAGAGAGAGAGAGAGAGAGAGAGAGAGAGAGAGAGAGAGAGAGAGAGAGAGAGAGAGAGAGAAAGAGAGAGAGAGAGAGAGAGAGAGAGAGAGAGAGAGAGAGAGAGAGAGAGAGAGAGAGAGAGAGAGAGGAGGAGCGAGCGTCTCGCCATGCCACTCCCTTCCCGCGGGGCCACACTCGCTCGCCTGTCGCTCCCGCCATATCTCCCTCTCTCCACACCTCTCGCGTATATCCGTCCCCACTCATGTATGATCACATGCCCTCGATTTTTGCATTCGCTCGCTCACTCTCTCTTTCTCTGGTATTTTGCACTCTGTCTTTGGTGAAATGTGTTGCTTTGCAGGGCTTGGAAGTGATATCTGACGAGGAAGGGTGTGCCTTGGCTTCCAAATTCTATATCCGCAGCTAGTTTTGTCGCAGCGTAGCGAGTGATAATGTTATCCGACAATCAGGCAAAATGTCTGTTTGCAATATTTTCGCCAAGGATCTGCCATGTAAGAACTGTCGGGGGAAAAAAAAACACGCCTCGCAAGGTTCCAACCAATACACTCTTGATCCGAACCATTTCGAGTTGGGTCCAACTCGAAGTGGGGGTCATTATTATAGCTTCTCGCTGTAAGGATGTTGGCAGAATCCTAATCAAATAAGTATACGTCTATGATAATTAGAAAGTTCGTCTACATGGTCGTGTCACGAGACTAGGTAGTTAGGAAGCCATGAAAATGGCGAGAGGGTTTAGCTAGGAGAAAATTGACGAGAGAAAAGAGAGAGGATAGAAGAGAGAGGCATACAACGAGGGGGGTTGTACCCTCTACAGTTCATTGCAATAATACCTACCAAGCCTACCAATTAAATAACAAAATATATAATTCAACACACCCCCTAGGCTTGGTAGTAACAAGCCCACACACACCCACACCCCTTAACCTAGCCCTCCCATTTCCAGCAGCAGCCGCGATGACTCCGGAATCGGTCAACACCCGCGGCTCGAGAGATGGCAATGGTGGTAGCGGCGGCAGTGACGAGAGCGACAGCGGCGGCGGCGTACGGCGGCAACAGGCCAGCGGCAACAGCGGCTTCAACGTCAGAGGCGACTGCAGCGGCCCCCGCCCTCTCGGCGGCATGGCCAATCTCAATTGCTATGGGGAAGGCCCTCACGAGGCAATCGACGGCTGTGGCAAGGAAGAGGGGACGCAAGGGAAGGGGGGGGGGGGGGGGGGGGGGGGGGGGGCGTGGTCTAGAATCACGCCCGTGGCAGGCGAGCGGGCGGCAGGTCTAGCGGCGCCACCGGCGTTGCGTGGTCGGCTGCCGCCCGACGGCGCCACCACCGCAGCATTACAACCAGGTCCCCAAATTGCAGACTTTTTACTTTGATTCAGACTTTTTTTGGGGGTGTACTCTGATTGGGAAGACTTTTTTCAGAGAAGATTTATGTACCTACGCTGATTTTTCAGACTTTTTCTACTAGTGTACTCTGATGCCTCAACTTTGTATGGGGGGGTGATTTGTGTAACACCGGAGGAGCGTGATTTACCTGTAAGGGAAGATGATTGGCCCTTAGCCAAAATCAGAGCGCGATGCTTGCGGGGGGCTTTGTGAGGGCGGTTACCACCGGCCCTTCACAAAAAACAAAGGCCAGTGCGTTATGGGGGCTGTGTGAGGGAGCTGACTGGTCCTTCACCAAAATCACCTCCCACTTTGTGCAGGGTGCAGGTGTGGGGCCGATTGGCCATTGAAAAAAATTACCGATGTTTGCTGCGGGTTGTGTGTGCGACGGCGCCCATTGGCCCTTCACGAAATAGCCACGTGGATGGCGCGATTTCCCTCCCTCCCTGCAATTTTACTTTGCCCGCCCCCCAATTCCTTTTCGCCCGCCCCATTTGCTATCTGTCGCCAGCACACAGATAGCAAGAGCACGCAAGAAGAGAGAGCCCTGGATTAGGAAAGGGAAGGAGAAAATAGACATACAGAACACCAGTTTTATAATCAGCGTAAAATTTAATGGTAACTCTGAATAATCAGACAAAAAATCTCTTATTACTCTGATTTTTAAGGGGCGACTCTGATGGCCATACCAAGGGATGACAAGCAAGTCTGATGAATCAGACACCCCCAAAACCAATTTGGGGGCCTGATTACGACGCTGCCATAGTGCGACATCGATGCCCCGGCAGAGCGACGCCACGACAGAGCGACGCCACGGCAGCGTGTCGAGAAGGCCGCGGCACGACGACGCCGCCACAGCAGCACGACGCGGCCGCCATGGCAGCGCGAGAGGGAGAGAAGGAATGCGCGGCGGAAGCGTAGGGAGCAGGCCCGGGAAGGGCAACCTGCTCTAATACCATGTTATGAGACTAGGTAGCTAGGAAGCCATGAAAATGGCACGAGGGTTTAGCTAGGAGAAAGTTGACGAGAGAAAAGTGAGAGAGGATAGAAGCGAGAGGCATACAAGGAGGGGAGTTGTACCCTCTACAGTTCGTTGCAATAACACATACCAAGCCTACCAATTACTGTATATAACAAAATATATAATTTAAGATGTCGTATGTATCAAAGTAGCGAAGTAACTAGAATGTGTCATACACGTTGGTTTTGTGCTAAGGGGTTGTACTCTCTAAAAGTACGCATCCATCTAGCATATAGTAACATATAAATATATGTTTGACGCAACCCCTAGGCTAGATGAGGGGCAGTGCCGGGCAAGAGACACGCAGCTCAGGGTGGCACTACTAGTCCAACCTCTGATGCAAGGGTCCAAAGACCAGTCAGCAAGAGTACAAACTAAACAGGAATAACCTAGAGCAGCACTACTAGTCCAGCTACTGGAACAAGAGCCACAAGGCCAGTCAAGAAAATAAAAGGAGTAGTACACACTCAAGGTCCTAGCAAGTGAGAAGCTACACGAACTAGACCAAGCTCTACACAGTGCCATTGATGATCTTTAGGCGCAAGCGCATTCGTAAAGATATAGATATGTTGGCACCGGAGGCCAAGTGTTGCGTACAAACCACTAGGTTCTACTGACTCCTCAGAGACTAGAGCAAAGAGCCTGTGATCTACTTGCAGAGGTGTGGATTGTGTAGAGGAGAACTAAAGACCGAACCTCTGAAGAACCAGGTGCTGCTCTGTCACTGGAGATCTACATGCCAAGATAGCGGCGCAACTCTCCTAGGTCAGTGCAGATGTGTCTTCTCAGCAGCTCGGCCTTCACAGAGGCCAGTGCATCCCTATCTGCAGTGGCAAAGACCAGGTCGTCTACGTAGACAAGGATGTAGAACGGGGTCTGGCATGAACGAACAAAAAGCGAGGGGTGTGCAGAGGACGGGAAGAACTGGAGGTCAGCTAATCTAGCATGCAGCGTGTCATGCCACTCTCGGGGCGCCTGCCGCAGACCGTAAACTGGGCGCCGGAGGAGCCACAGGATTCCCGGGGCGAAGGTACCGGTGAAGCCTAGTGGGCGACAAAGGTAGTTCTCCTCGTGAAGACTACCCAAAAGAAAACGGTGTGGAGAATTCAAAGGATTGCAACTCGTAGTAACGCTGTGCTGCTAGGTGTAGCAGCGCCCGAAGAGTGGTCATCTTCGGGGTCGGGGCGAAGGTATGAAAGAAGTCAATACCCTCGCGCTGACTGAAGTCTCTAGCAATGTAGCGCGCCTTGAACATCGGCGGCTCACTAGAAGGGCGCTTCACCTTGAACAGCCACCGGTCATTAATGACGTTCACCCCAGGTGGGGGAATTGTGTCGACATTGGTGCCGGTGGATCTCCAAGATGCCATCTCTGCGTCCATGGCAGCTATCCACTGAGAGGCACAGGGTTCCGAGGTTGCCTCAGCGTAAGTGCGAGGGGTCGGGATGTCAAAGGCGTTTGAGTCACCCTCAGGGACTAACAGTATGGAGCAGAGATGAGGTGCTGTCTCGGACAGGAAAGAAAGCTTGTACTGCTTGTCCTCTAGGAGGTCATTGCCAAGGGCAGGAGCAACCCCGACTGATGGAGGACAGGCAGGGTCAGAGACCAGAGCAGTGGCGTAGTCAAGACGATGGGTAGATGCAACGTCAGTAACGGCAACGACAAGAGCGTCGAGACTGGATACAGGAACAGACGTGGAACAAGTGGACTAGCAGCATGGAGGAAGTAAGAGAAGGGAGGCGGAGCGACAATCAGCGAGGATGGAGGAGGCGACGGGAGGAGGGGAGGACGAGACTCGTGGGAACAGAGCAACATATGGTGAGAGCGCTGGACAGGAGAAACAAGACGAGCACGAGAGGGACGGCAAGACTAGAAGTGGGAGGGAGGCGTCGGATCAGGAGACACAGGAGGAGAACGCAGGGGAAAACGAGCCAGCAGGAGCGGGGCTTGCAGGTGCGGGGCCAGCAGGTGCAAGGAGCCGGCGGGCGTAGAGCTGGCGAGCGTGGGGGCCGGCAGGCGCGGGGCCAGTGAGCTAGGGGCCGGCGGCAGGTGGCTGGCAAATGCGGGGCCAGCGGGCGCGGGGCTGGTGAAGGCGGGGCCAGTGGGCGCGGGACAAGCGGGTGCGGGGCCAGCAGTCGCGGGGCCAGCGGGCGCACGGGGCCGATGGACGCAGGGCTGGCGGGCGCTGAGCTGGCGAACGCGGGGCCAGCGGCGAGCGGTTGTGGGGCCAGCTGTCGTGGGGCCAACGACCGCGGGAATGGCGAGCACGGGGCCGACGGGAGCGGGGCTGGCGGGCGCGGGGCAACCGGGACGGGGCTGGCGAGCGTGGGCCCAGCGGGCGCAGGGCCGGCGGGCGCGGGGCCAGGGAGCGGGGCCAGGGAGCGCGGGGCTGGCGAATGCGGGGCCAGAGAAAAGAGGATGGATTAGGAAGAGAGAGGGATACAAGGAGGGGGTTGTACCCTCTACAGTAGGTTTCAGTAATGCCTACCAAGCCCACAATTATATATAACCAATATAATTTAACACACCCCCTAGGCTTGGTAGCGGCAAGCCCACCTCACACGAAACACCCCCAAAACCCTGGCACCCCAATGTGCCGCAGCTGGTGAGTCTTCTACCCTTCGTGCGAAGCGGTGACACCCCCAGCGGGTGGCAGCAACGGCGTCAGCGGCAGCGGCGTGCGGCGGAAAGAAAGGCCAGTGGCGGCGGCTTCGACGACGGCGGCGGCTACGGCGAGGCTCGCGGCGCTCGTCGGCGTGACACGACCCGGTGACGACCGGGCATTGAAGCAGCAGCTGTGGCTGGAGGAGAGAAAGACACAGGGGGGGGAAGGGGGTGTGGTCTAGCAACACGCCCGTGGCTGGCGTTGGCCTGGCGTGCGGGCGTCAGGGCTGGCGCCGCCTAAAACGAAGTGCGGCTCGCTGCTGCGCGACGCCGCCGCCGCGGCAGCATGACGACTCCGCCACAGCGCAGCGTCGATGCCGCGGCGCCACGTCGATGCTGCCACGGCAGCACGACGACGTCGCCACGGCAGCGCGTCGGTGCTGCGACGGCAGCACGAAAATGACGAGAGAAGAGCGAGTACGCGGCGGAAGCATGGGGAGCATGCCCGGGAGGGGCAACCTGCTCTGATACCATATTAAACAAAATACGCTAGGTAGGAAGAGAAGACGCCATGGATGGCGAAAGGTTTTAGGCTAGGAGAAAGTTACGAGAGAAAAGAGGATAGATTAGGAAGAGAGAGGGATACAATGAGGGGGTTGTACCCTCTACAGTAGGTTTCAATAATGCCTACCAAGCCTACAATTATATATAACCAATATAATTTAACAGGCGGGCGCGTGGCCAGCGGGCGCTGGGCTGGAGAGCTCGGGGCCAGCAAGTGCGGGGCTGGTGATCGCGGGGCCAGTGGGGCGGAAGCGCGAGTGGGTGGGGAGGACCTAACCTAGCGTGATACCATATCAAAGTAGCGAAGTAAGTAGAATGTGTGATACACGGTGGTTTTGTGCTCTCTAAGAGTACGCACCTATCTAGCCTATAGTAACATATAAATATATGTTTGATAGTATGTAGGCATGAAGAGTGATTGCAACGTGGCCAGGGGTGTTTCCACGCCAGCAGCTTTCATCTAACAGCGTGATTTCAGCTTCCCACCCCTGGCGATGTTGTCAGCTGACGGAGTGTTCTGTTGGCTGATCAGCCACCCCACCAACTCCCGCGGTGCCTCAGGGTTTGTCAGTCTGACGAGAAACAGTTCCCAGTGCGGCTCCGCCTTGCGTGGATCACTCGCACAACCCACGCCAAATCTGTCGCCCCTGTCGCATAGCACTAGTGAACCTTCTTCAGTGGTTCGCCGAACTTGCGCTGGCGATTTTTGACGACGCAAAGCCACAACCGCGGTCGTCTAGCTAGACGGGTGCCGTCCACACCACCGTTTACCCGTTTGTCGCTTTGGTCTCTCTCCGCGTACCCGTCCCCAGCACGTGAACAGAAACGCCGAGGTTAGGAGCTCGTCGTCAGGCGCGCGCACCACTCCCCTCCTCCCCTCTTCCCTGTCGCTGCCTCCCACCACTTCACCGCACCCCGCCTCCACTGCCGCCAGCCATGGTTAGCTCCTGGCGACTCCTACAAATCCACCTCATTCAAACCAGTCCCTCATTCGTAGCTAAATTCAAGCCATTCCCTCATTCTCTTCATAGCTCTCTCCCCAGCGATTTGCATAACGTTTAGCACTCAACGATTGACTATCGCTTTGCCTATCGACGATTGACAGCCGCCTTGTGTAATTATCGGCCTCAGCGTCCATTCCAGCTGTGATTTCGGCTGCGTGAAGTTCTCCTGACCTCCCCTTCAGAAACGCAAAGCCGGCTACCAATGGCTTCATCTAGATTGCCGCTGTCATTATTGATCGCTGTCGTCGCCCTACTGAGCATGGCTTCCGTGAGTCGCGCTATAAGCAAGGCCGACATGCTGCAAGAGCTGGTGGTCTACAGCGAGGACGACGCGTTCCCGTTCGCGGAGCTCGAGTCGCAGCAGGCGGGCGACGACGAGGAGATCACCGCGGCCGCCATCGCGAACGCGTTCCACCACCTGCACGGCTCCGAGGACTTCAGCGGCGCCGAGGACGACGATTACGTCGCCGCGAAGCCGGACCCGAAGCCCGAGACAATGGCGGCGACGGGAGCGCCCACCATCCTGGACGCCGTCTCGCAAACCATCCTGAAGCGGTTGCGAGGAATCATCGGGTGAACGCGCGAGCTTCGTGTGACCGGAGGAGAGGTGACGACTGACTCAAGACGCGAGGCAGTATCGCTCGTACTGCCCTCTATGAGAATGCGACAAGCGGACAATGTCTTAATTCGGCTGCGGCCAATATTCGCCATACTTATGTACCATAGTAGCTGATCGCGCACATGCCGCTACGGGCGCGCCTGTGCCACACTCCCTTGTGCGGAAATTCGCACAAACCATACTTAGCCTGTGATAATGCAATGTGATTTGCCATCAATACAAATCTCCTGGATTCCTCCCATCCCACACACCTACCGTTCAGTTCCCCCCCGGGTTGCTTAGTTCATCGCTCCTCCACGCACCCATGCCCTCAGGTCCTCATTGCCTCTGGCGGAGAAAATAATGGTGTGGACTTTGTGGTGTGCATACAATCTGAATTGTGTACGTCATCGGGGCAATTACATTGGGAGAACACTCATCACAAGTTCCACCATGTGAGCAAGATGTGAAAAAGGCTTCTGTGAGCGCATCAACCTATCTCGTGGCGCGGAAGCACAGCAGGCGGAACAGCGAGGGCTGTCGGCCCTCACCAGGGAAGGCCGTGGCCACCGCTGCCTGCAATGCCCGCTCCACACTCCCCCCCACGCGCTCTGCCAGCTCGCCTTCAGCCGCCTCTAGACCCGCTGCTGCCGCTGCCGCCAGGATGTCAGGCTCCAACACGTGGCGCGTGATGTGGCACAGCAGCAGCACCGGCACGGGCCCGCGCCCACCATGCCGTACCAAGAGGCGGGCGGCGGACTGGAAGAGCAGCGGGACGGCGTCACGGACGTACAGCACGTCAGCCCCGATGATGATGTCATACCCCCCTCTCTGCTGGCGTTCAGTATCAACACCTTCACTATTGTCTCCCTCCATACTGCACCCATGAACACCCGGATCACCTGCGGTGCCCCCTTCCGCATGGCTTGTGCTGCTCCCTCCCCCCTCCGCTTGCCCCTGTCCCCCCCACCCACGTTGGTTGCCAGCAGCAGCCGCACCATCGCTTCATCCCCCTCATTGCCCCACCGCAGCTCACACACCTTTACTCTGCCCGTCTCAAAGCTACCCGAATTCAGCTCCAGATTCGTCGGCAGCAAGCTGAGTGCGCTCTCATCCCCATCTGTTGCCACAATGACAAGTGGTGCGCTGTGAGTGGCTGCGAGCGAGCAGAGCGCCGCCCCGCCGCACCCCAGCTCCAGGAGAGTGGCGCCGCGCGTGAGGGCAGGGTGGGCGAGCAGCAGCGCGGCGAGGACGAGTGAGGAGTCCCAGAGCAGGCGGCCCGTGCTGCCGTGTGTGTGCTGGTGCTCGCGCGACAGCAGCGACAGACGCACCGGCAGGTGGGCGAGAGATAGGGCGTGATCCTGGGAGGGGGAAAAAAGGATAGGGATTTGGAAGAGAGGGGGGGACGGGAGAAGACAGGGGGAGAGTATTAGGGTGAGGTGGGTAAAGGGAGCGAGCAAGGGGAAGGAAAGAGGGGAGTGGTGCGCATGAAAGCCATGAGCACAAGAGGAGGAGGGACGGGGCACCTCAAGGGGTGGGTCAGAGAGGAAGAGGTCGCTGCAGTCCACGTCACTCGCGCTGGAAGCGTCACTCGCGCTGGCAGCGTCACTCGCGCTGGCAGCGTCACTCGCGCTGGCAGCGTCACTCGCTTGCATGCTGCTGCCTGCTGCCCCCCTCCTACTGCCCTCTGCTCGTGACGCACTGCTCCCTCTTCTGCCTTCATCCCTGCTATCGCCCACCCCTTCGCCACTGTTGCCCTCCCTCTCCCCATCATCTCCCCTCTTTTCCCCATCATCTCCCCTCTTTTCCCCATCATCTCCCCTCTTTTCCCCATCATCTCCCCTCTTTTCCCCATCATCTCCCCTCTTTTCCCCATCATCTCCCCTCTTTTCCCCATCATCTCCCCTCTTTTCCCCATCATCTCCCCTCTTTTCCCCATCATCTCCCCTCTTTTCCCCATCATCTCCCCTCTTTTCCCCATCATCTCCCCTCTTTTCCCCATCATCTCCCCTCTTTTCCCCATCATCCCCCCCAGCAGCAGCGGGGGCAAGCGGCAGGCGGAACACTGCTTGGATCCACCGCCTGGCGGGGAGGGGCGTGGGGGAGGAGAAGGGAGCACGGGACAAGGGAGGGGGGCAGGCTACAGATAGTGTGAAACCAGACGAGGGCGTTGAGACGAGTCGTGGGCATTCATGCAACAGCATGACGTCTTAGTGGCAGGCACCTGTGCATATCGATCTGTCTGGCGCGGTTGGTGACGGTGCGCTCGCACACGCCCATCTGCACGCACTCCATGCCGCTCCCTGTGAACAGCTCTCTCAGCGCGTGCTCGGTGAAGTAGTAGGCGCGCTGCCATCGGGGGATGTGGAGTGGGGAGGGCGCATTGGGGAGGGAGGGGAGGTAGGGCTGCTTTGGGAAGGCAGGCATGGATTCTTATTCTCATTTGCTTAGAGTGCCATAACCCACAAAACAATGACTATGTGCTGAACATGCCATTCCCAAGCTGCCATCACCCACCGTGCCATCCCCCCTTCTCACCGTGCCATCGCTCCTGCTCACCGTGCCATCGCTCCTGCTCACCGTGCCATCGCTCCTGCTCACCGTACCATTGCTCCTGCTCACCGTGCCATCCCCGCGCACATAGAAGTTGTCGGCGATGCGCTGCTCCTTGCGGCTCAGCCGCTTCTGCGGGGAGGCAGGTGGGATGGTGGTGTGATCGACGCATGGGGGCAATGGCTTGGGATAAGAAGACGCAGACCAGCACAACAAAGGAGCACGTTTGTGAAGCGCGATGGCCTGGAGACATTGCGCGGTGCATCCCTGCATGGCACCTGAGCCACCCACCTGAGCAAACCCACCTGCGCAACCACCTGAGCTACCCACCTGTGCAATCCACCTGAGCTACCACCTGAGCAATCCACCTGAGCTACCCACCTGAGCGATCCACCTGAGCTACCCACCTGAGCAATCCACCTGAGCAAGCCACGTGAGGTTATACCTGGGCAAGGTCGCCAGCAGCATAGTCTCGGACCAACACATGCCCGCCTGGCTGCACCACATGCCACAGGATGGGATGGGATGGGGTAAGGGGCGGGTAGTGAGGGAGTGAATGGGGAGGCAGATAGCACCAGAAAGCAGTGCAGTGGGCATGCAGCATGGAACAGAGCCCCTCCAGTGATCCGCAAAGAGGTTACGGCAGGGCGGGACCAGAGCACGAGCAGGCACGCATGGGGGAGGGGACATGCCTTGAGCAGAGTGGCGACGTTGGCGATGGCGAGGGGCATCTTGTCCGGCGACATGGCCGACAGCACAAACACCTGAGGGCGGGGTGGGCAGAGGGTGGCGGTGGGGAGAAGAGACGGAAGGATCTTTGCACCGCATTGAGTCATTGCAAGCTGATTTCATGCAATGACGGAAGGATCTTTGCACCGCATTGAGTCATTGCAAGCTGATGTCATGCAATGACGGAAGGATCTTTGCACCGCATTGAGTCATTGCAAGCTGATGTCATGCAATGACGGAAGGATCTTTGCACCGGCATTGAGTCATTGCAAGCTGATGTCATGCAATGACGGAAGGATCTTTGCACCGCATTGAGTCATTGCAAGCTGATGTCATGCAATGACGGAAGGATCTTTGCACCGCATTGACTCGTCACGCACCATGGTGACGACATCCACGTGAGATGGAGGGCACACCTGCTGGGCATGTGGCCCACGCAGCACGCACATGCACCGCCGCCACCACTGCTTCTGCTGCTGCTGCTGTCGCCGCTGGTGGCGGTTGGGACGGCAGGCGACGTGGCAGCAGCGATGGCGGAGGGGAGGTGGTCAGCAGTGACGTCAGCGACGAATGCCCTCAGCCTGTGCGGGTCGTACAGCGAGCTGCCCTGCTCAGCAGCATGCAGTGCGACACAGAGAGGCACACAGCAGCACACCCAGTGGCACACCCATGAGTGATTGCATGCACACACGCACACATGAAGGCACACACACCCACATGGACAGAGCGGCTCACACACGCAGGCCTTCCCACGGCCCCCTACTATCCCCCTGGTCCTCGTCCCCTCCCTTCCCCCCAACCCCCCTCTTTCACGCACGGCAACGAGGGCGACGGCGCGCGGGGAGAAGTCGCAGGCGAGGGCGAAGAGAGAGGGGTCGTCCGCCAGCAGGGGGAACACCGTGTTGCCCGCGCCACACCCCACCTGCGGGCAGGGGGGAGGGGGGGCAACGATAGGGGGGCCAGGGGAACACAGGGGGTATGAGACCTGCAGACGGGGGGAGGGCGATGAAGCGCCGTGAGGAGAGGAGAATGACGAGTGGAGGCGGACGAGGGGGCAGCGAGCTGCAAGGGGATTGGGGGAGACAGGGGCATGGTGCTCTGCGCATCATGGTGCACCGCGCACCGCCCCTTCCACTCACACTCTCCTCAGCGCACGGCTCTCCCCTCACCTCCAGCACCACGCGCCTGATGGCAACGCACCGCCCACACGCGCACCTCCCCCCGCCGCTGCCTGCGGCCACCGCTACACCTTCTTCCCTCCCCTCCCCCCCTGCCCTGCCCCTCCTCCGCGCCCCCATCTTCCCCCCTGAGGAAGTGCGCCCACTCCTGCTGCAGGTAGTGACGGTCCTTGAAGAACTGCGCGCGCAAAGGGGGGTGGGGGAGGGAGGGGGGAAAGGGGGGATTGGAATTGGAGAAGTTGAGTGAGGCGGGGGGAACAAACGTTTGGGTACGGAGAGCGTTGGGAAAAAGCAGAGAGGGAGAAGAGGCCAGACGGAGAGGCGGTGGGGGGAGGAAGCGGAGGGGCGAGCGGGGCGAGCACGTCTCTCATCGCTCTCTCTCTCTCCCCCACGCGCGCACCCGCTCGCCGTTGCGCTTGTAGAAGAGGTCCCAGTAACGCCGCGCCTCCGCGCTCGTACTTGTCTGGCGGCCGCCGTCAGCAGCGAGCACATGCGCACAGGACAGACGAGCGACGCGGGGCACAGGAGGGCTGGATGAGTGGCGGGCGGGGGCGACAGAAAGGGCGCGCTGCCACCCCCGCGGAAGAGGCGCTGGCCCCACTCCCCCACAAACCGGCTCGGTGAGTGGCCGGCGGGAGTAAAGGTCCTTCAATCTAGATGTCAGGCGAGTTCCGTGCCGGACATTGCGGTCGTTCGACCCTTCTTAAACCCGAAACCCTGAATCTCGACATTGGCATGAATCCAGCCGGCACGCGCAAGTATATCTACTCAGCCACGTCAGCAGGTACGGCAATCACGAGCATCGCACACCTCGCAAGAAATCGGAGACGCAGTCAGTGTGCTGGGGGTAGATCTGCACACGTGGTGCCGCGTCATTCGCTGTGGATTTCATGGTCCAAAGTCATGGGAGAGCAATGGGATGGAGTTGGTTGTTATTTATTTATGAATTCATCTAGCAATATTTTTTACATTGCTTGACTTATAGGGAGAACAATCGTGTAGTTCAAAGGTTTACTGTACCCGTTCGTGGACATCCAGATGGTCGGTGCATTCACATCAGATTCCGTTTCTTCTCTCCGCCGTGTCACGTGACCTGCAGGGGGAAACCGTTTCGCATGCGTAGCGTACGCCCCTCTAGGTTCTGCGATTAGATTGGCCAAGAGATTCGAGGAGGAGTTGTCATAATCAGTGGCCAATGGCCAATGGGGGTGCTGGCCAGGTGTGAGAACTGTGACCCCCCGCTCGTGGAATCCTTCGCGAACGACATTCGCGACAAGCTGGCGGAATGCTTTCAGACGTGTTGCCCGACTTGTCGTTTCCCTCTGGGAAAGCTGGAACGTGGGCTTGCAGAGTTCGGGTCGTTTCATCTCGTCCCCCGCGGGAGCACGTCACAGTGACAGTGGCACTGTAACAGAACGCACGACTGTTTGATGAGTTCCCTTCCGCGTGTCGTCACCTCCCCTCGCATTCGTTGCGCCTTGCGGTTGCCCGCTCGCCCCCCAAATCCCCGTCTTCCTTGCAAACTCCCCCGCCAGGGCAAGCGCAACCCGCACAAAATGCGCCCTCGTTTGTTCTTGCGCGAGTAGTTCTGCTGCCAGCTCGCCACGCGGAGACCCTCATCATAGCAGCAGATTAATCACGTGCCCCGCGCGCCCGTCGTGGCATTACGGCGAGGTTAGGTGGGCGACGGGGCCTCGCCAATGATTTTCTGCTGCGCGTTGCTCGCAGCAGAGGGCCAAGCGCCGCTGGAGCAACGACGGGGCGTGCCATGGCGGCGGTGGGGGGGCGGTCAACGCAGCATATCTCCGTTGGCCGTTGCAGAATCGGTTTCGTGGTGCGAGCGTCGCTGCTACCCCGGATGGACGCGGTGCAGGCAGAGCTCGTGCAGGGGGTGGGGCGCGTCGGATGATAGGCGTCGTTGTAGCGCGGCGAACGGCGCAGTGCGCTGGAACAGCGGCCACTGCGAGACTGCGAGCATCCTTGGGTGAGCGGCACTGCAACTTGCGTCGGTCATGCCCCCAGTCACCAAGTGCATAAGGCCCCTCGCTGTCTCGCTGCTCCACTCGCACTACCCACCTCGCGCTCACACGCTCAACGCCAAGTTTGCAGCTATCACCCCATCGTTGCAGCTACACGCATCGCTACTGACAGACTC